GTAGGGAAAAAACATCCTAGGGCATTTCGACTGTTACTTCTTTTCCTCACTACCCTGTTTTTGCTTGTATATCCAATGGGATATGTAAAAAATGGACAGGTACAACCCCGTGGATTTTCCTAGTTCAGCCTTTCTGTTTCGAGTACGGTTGGATGGCTGAAGGCAGGCAGCCTTACTGTGGAGCCCAGACTGCTGAAGGCAATCTCCAGCTTTACCTTATGGATATTATTGCCCAACATGCAGTATTTCTCCAGGGCAAAAACCAGATTCCTAAAAAGGAGCTATATTTTAGATACTTCATTGAAGATGATTAAGCAAAAGCCATAAAACAGGAAAACAAAATTCCTCCTTCACAAGTACAGAGCACAATATGCTGGTTCAGCTCTTAAGAAACTGCTAGTATATGAGCTTACAGTTATCCCAGTAGGCTGGCAAAAGATATAATTTCTAAACTTTAAATGTAAGCAAGTCCCAACTCCCTGATATGTGCTTTAGGGGGAGCCAGGTTCAGTGCAGTTGTCTATGCGGTTGTTGGCACAAGGTGGGCAAGCACATTTTAGATGGAGGAATAACCACACCTGAGTGAGGTTGATTCCTCAGCCATACTGAGGTGAATCAGCAGCTTCTACTCTATCTGCAGGTAGGGGACAAGGAAGGTGTGTGCAAAAAGGATTTCCACATGCCACACCAATAGAAGCTGCTTTTGTGGCACCCCTAAGGCTAGCTGCAGCTTAGGAGAAGCATCACCACTTTACAGTGAAGGTGTGGATATGCATAACGCAGCAGGGCAAATGTCAAGGAAGCACAAAGATGAACTTTAAGCACGCTTTTCACTGTATCTCTGCGTTTCTTTTCTGCTCAACGCACTGAAGTAAAATCCTCGTGCCAATTCCCTCTGCCCAATCTCAATCCCAAGATTTGGGGTTTAGGTCAGAAAAAAAGACCAAAAATAATGCGCTCTCTAGATCTTTTAGCTTACTACAGGAAGTATCCCATAAAAGAAGCCAATCTTGCAAAATCTGGGACCAAATCACAGAAAGCAGCTTGCAAGTAGTCGTTAATAGAGAGCCCATTGTCAAGATGTGGCTTAGCTTAAACTCTAAAACAGAGCCTAAAGTCCAAGCCAAATTGAAAAATGTCAGCCTCTTAAAAACAGACCTATGTAGTGCAGGCACACATATACAGTCACACTGTATGACTTGTGTGCCATTATTATACATATTGTAATATAGCCTGAACACACCCTAATATTACTAGTTAATTATTAAGGAGCTTCATGCTAGCATTTCCACTCCAGGCACTTAAAAAATTCTTTCTCATGGACATTCCAGCTATATTCCCACTCCAATTCAATCAAGCTGTTATTACCTAATTTCCTAAGAAACTTTTCAAATGAGTAGACTCCCTAATGTTAAATGTAGTCTCAATTCAATGTGCACATAAAAACCCCCTCTTAAACTCTCAAGGATTTGCTTTTTCTGTGTCTCTCGTGCCCGTACACATCTGCCATGTGGAACGCTACCCACAGCTTTGGCGATCAGTCCAGCAACAGAGCAAATCACGTTCCATCTTATAGCTTCGCATTCCGCCCTATAGCTGTTTCCCAGGGAACCAACGTGCATTACAGAAATGTGCTGTTCACAGGGACAGAAGGGAAAGAAGCCCAACCCTTCAGCATTTCCTGCAGCTCTGCTAAGAAGTAACTTAAAATAATATTGTAGTATAAGTAATATTCTGGCAGGATAGGAGCAGGCTCTGCTTTTGTTCTCATGCCTTCACAAGGAAGGGAGGAGTGCAGAACTCACACCAGGCTTCCAGCACCCCTTAGAAAACTCCCAAATCTTAGGACTGTATACAGCTGACTGTTTCAGCTTTGACTGAATGCAACAGGAGTCAGAGCTTAACGCGACGAGATGCTCGTTTTCTTTCAGTACCCATCTCTTTGACTCATGGAGGGAAAGTTTCAGGATTATAGTCTTTTCATTCATTCAAGCACTTGAAGAGACACACTATCAAGGGTCCATTCAAGACCTGAGCAGCCTTTACTGCATGAGTACTGCATGTACTCATATACATGACAGCACAGAAATATTTACCTCCTAGATGAACAGACCCTTGTCTGACAGGTGGTCTATCAGTAGGAAAGATAGACCAAGTAGCCCCGTGGGACTGTTTTGATCAGAAGCCCAGCACCACACCCAGGCGGTTAAGACAGGAGGGGTACGATTAACACAATGTTCAATAAGGACTTTCTTTTTCTTATCTTCAGAACAAATTTCTCACTTCTCCAACTGTATTACTTTCTTTTCAGCATTTGGTATATTTATTATAGGTTGATGCAATCTTTCTACCTGTAGCACTTGGGAATCTTCTTGCATAAGGCTCTAAAAAATGTTAAAGCCCTGTCTTATTTCTCTGAGTGTCCAGTAGAGTGGAATAGATGGCCTCAGTGTCGTAACAAACTGCAGGTCTTCATACTGCTAGCTGAGCTGCATTGAAGGAAATATAGTAGAAGTCTTGAAAAGATGCCTAAAACTGTAGCATTGTTAAACAGGCCCTATTACTGCAAATGTTTACTAGCAACACATTATAGTCTGTGGCACTCTTGCTATTAATTTTGTGTCCATGTAGTTGAAGTGAAAATTAATTTTTCTATTTTTTTCTGTTCTTTTTTTCTTTGCAGGAGGCGCTGATATTTTCAGCAAGAGATTTTTGGAAGACATATTGCAGTATTCTGTAATAGTGAACATATGGAAAGTATTAAAATATTTATTACCTGTAAATATTGTAAATGCTCAGAATAAAACCTTTTTCCCCCATTGCTCTCTGAAACTGCACATTTGGTTATTGTGAATTTTCCTTTTTTTTTTTTTTGCTAAGGCTAAGACAATTATTGTCACATTTACCATAATTTATTTTGTTGACTGGTGTATTTATTTTGTGAACGTATCTTGGTGCTGCTGACTTTCTATATTTTGTAACATAATGCACTTTAGATATACATATCGAGTACATTGATAACTGACCTAAAATGTTCCTGTTTTGTGGTTGACTTCAATGAATGCCTGCATACAATTGTTCAAACTGATTTTCCTTTGTGCATGTATAATAGCAGTATTTTAAAATTTGTAAAGAATGTCTAATAAAATATAATCTAATTAAATCATGACTCAGAAGGAAAAATGTGTCCTTTAGGAATTTCAAGAGCAGGAACACTATTTTTTTTCTTTACTACATTTGAAAATCGTTTTAAATTTAATGTGTTTACATTGGTTCAAACTCCCACATTTTCACATTAGCTTTTACTTAAAAATCACTCAGAACATATTTTGTTCCAGTGCTCTATTTCAAGTCAGCTAAGTTGCTGAACAACCTGGGGGTACTGTCATATAGCTCAGACCCCCACTGCAGGGAAAGCACGATTCCCAACGTTTCCAGCCCCCCAGCCCTGCAAAGGCTGAAGCATTGCACTCTCCGAATGAGAGAATGAGAGGACGTGAAAAGCAGCCCCAGGGCATGCAGCACTTACTACTTCTGGAAGGTGCTCACACATCACATCCCGTAGTCTTGCTCAAAAGACGGATGCTCAGTGTCCTCAGCTCCCACTAACTTTACTCAAAGATGAAAATGTCTACCACATGAGTAAAGTCTCAGCTCTTTGTACTTTGGGACCACCTTATGTTGGCGGGGGGGGGAGTGGGTGAATATATAAAGGAAAGAAAACATGGAAACCACTGTAGGTGACACATCACTAGGTAGTGCTGTATTGCTTGAATAACTTTTCCCGCCACATGGCTGTTTCCGAAAAACATCTGCGTTAATATTACTTCTGCCTTATACCCAGAGAAAATTGCAGTTAAGGGGGAGACCATCTTCATTACTTCATGGTCACTGGCTGCAGAGAACAATAGAAAAAGAATTATGATCTCCTATCACTTTTTTTAAAGTGAACATTTGAGTCCTGCTTCCTATCCCTTTTACTACCACCCACATGTTAATCACAGCAGCTGCTGTGGGGGCAACCTGAATAAAGGAGATTGTTTCACGGAGATATCTGTGCTTTGTAAAATCCTACTGAATTTCCTCTGTCTCACTCCTTTAACATCAGCATCATCAGAAAAATGCAAGCGTGGAAAAATAAATTACAAATCCTGGGAATTTTAAGATAGTTCTTGTAATTGTTGCTCCATTCTGTAGTTGCCAAGCTTTTCTTTTTTCTTCTTCTTTCCTTTTTTTTAAGTGCCATCTTTTTCCATTGCCAAAGTACAGCCATCGTATAATATAAAACAGATGTATTTCTGCTCTCTACCCAATCTTGCAGAAAACTACCTCCAAGAAAGCACTAAAAGCAAGAAAATTTGACAAAAACTTACCCATCCTCCCCCATCCACTTATCCGAAGTGTGAAATTCAAGGCTTCCTTATGTCCAGTTAATTACTACAGCCATAAAGCACATGCATATCATTTCCTTTTCAGATGAAAAATATTATACATGATGAAACATAGCACAACTTCGGGGTTGCATTAAAGAAAAAAGGCATGGTTCCTGCACATTTTCAACTTGGCCTCCTTGCACATCCTGCCTATTTATAGTATCCAGCTAATGCTCGGATTTATACAACTGAAGTTAACTGCAATATATTCAGAAGATGATTTTGTACTTCAGGATTTCCAGCATATCCCAGCTGGAAATAAAACCTAAAGCTGCAGTGGTCAGGGGCAATTTATCTTCATCAGAAAGGATGATCCTCAGCAAACAGGGGACCCGAAGAGCATAAAACAAACCCATACACGCAAATGCTAAACCCTGGCTCTGTGGAACTGGCCACTTCATAAGAGGAGGCCTGATTTTGACGGGCCTCCGGTCTCTCCCATATCTTTATGCTGTTCATTAAGGACTAGCGATTTTTTTTCCTAGTTTCTATATGTAAAATTTGTGATTGTAGCAAATTTAAGTAAAGATGCTGTTTTCTTAAAGACCTTTACACAGGCCTTATAAAACCAGTCTATGGATTCTGTGGTTCACAGACTATCGTTTGAAAGTCACTGCTACAGACCATTGGATTTAACTCCACAAAGCTGAATGAAAGTTTTTTTGAGCACTCAGCTTTGCGGGAAAATTAATTCTGAAGACCCCTATTTCTGAGACAAACTACAGCAGCTTTGCCTTCCTAATTGGGGGGGTGGGGGGGCGGGGGGGGTAAAATCTTCCAGAGATTTCAGTTTCTCAGTCAGTTCAACCCCCATGATTCAACTTGCCTCAGAGACCCTGCAGTAACCGGGACTTATCCTCATATTTTCTGATATACATGATGTCAAATGTAAGGTATGATTATTTCAGAGGAGGAAAAAAATGGTGCTAGAGCTTCAACCTATGCATTTCATGACATTTTGGAAGATTGTGTTTTTACATTCATGTGTGTCTGACCACTTGATGTTCTACACGGCACACGTGCACACCTAAACGTGCTTAAAATGGACAGTGTTATGGATAAGGAGGCACTCCAAGAATTTGGAAGTACCAGAAGAAAAGTTGCTCATGCAACTTTCATTTGCTCTCTTTGCTCCCACATTACAGTCAGGGCTAGGATTACATGAGCAGATGTTACATTTCTTACTCCTGCCACCTTTCTTCTCTTCCCTCTCCTCCCCTCCACCTCTGCCTTCCCATCCATGTCTCAGTCCTTTTCCTCTGTTGAAACGAAAATCCAGCTCTTGTGTTTTCATCTGATGTCAGCTGCCCTGAGCTCTCCTTGGCTTATGGCCTCTGCTCCCACCATATATGTCACTGCCCTCTACTCATACCTCCTTCCCTCTCTACACCCCAAGTCCTTTCAGCTCTGTTTCTCCTGGTCTCCACCATCCCCAGCAACACCCCAGCTTCCCTCCTCTTCAGGCAGCTTTTCCCAGACCTCACCTCACCCATGTCAGCTTCCTTCACCAGTTTCCTGGCTCAGCAAGTCCCTCTTTTGCATCCTGGCTTGCAGTGACTGATCTTGTGTTTCTCCAAGTTCTTTGTCCCAGCTTTTCTCCTGCTGGGTTATGCTGTCCCCTCAGCAGCCACACCAGCTTCCTCCAGCAGGAAAACCAACCACAGCAGAGCGGGGAGGCTTCCTCCTCACTGTTGCTTTACATCGCCCTATCCCAGTGCCTTTTGCCAATCTCCTGGCTAACCAGGCATTGTGGGGATAGTCCACCTTTGCCCTCGTAGCCTCTGAGCACGAGCCTGCTCAGACAGCAAGGTCTGCACTCCTGGTGGAACATGGGAGCTGGAGGGTGGTAGGGTACCTTTGGTTGTTCAGTAAGGGATGTGCACTCAAAGTCCAGTCATGCAGAGGAGTTGGACCATGCTCAGTGATGAAGGCTTTTGCTGATAAAGGAACCTTCATTCAATGAGTGTAATTTTTCAGAGGGTTATAACATGTCCAGGTGTTCTTTAAGGTGATAAAAGAGCATTCCTAATGCAGAGGATGCACTTCCATATTTGCATTTTTTCCCCCTGAACCACAAAGGTGCTGGGGTTTCTCAGAAGAAATTCCAGAATATTTTTAACATGGATAATACAATGCGTTTTCCTTGTTTTGCATTTTAAAATGGTATGTCTATTTTGGCGGAAATTTTCTAAAAGACAGTTTACAAGTTTTTAGCTTGAGAGGTCAAAGATGAGTCAGAATTACAAAGAATTGAAGCCAGGATGTTGTACTAGGAGATGGTGGGCTACCTCAGAAATGCACTGAGCAGCTGTCCTGCCTCTCAGGTCCAGCTAACACAGTCAGAAACTTTGTTACTGCCCAAGACCTCCAAGGGGAACTTATATTTGGCACCCCACTGCTGCTCTGGTTTTAAAGTAGTCATCATGTTTACTACAGAACTTAAAAGCTTTTAAGAGACATCAAATGATGACAGCTCCTCACAGCAGCTACCCTGTGCTGGACCTCAGTAACAGACTTTTTTAGGCTCTGTGCACTTGGCAGTGGTAGCTCACTAACATTGGAGTTCCACTCACAGAGTTTGTTTCGTGGTCCTTCGTAAATACAGACATTCATTTGGCTTTCAAGACACACACAAAAAAAGCCAATGTAGTTTACACCTATACTGTGAAATGACTCTATGCTCTCAAGGAAGGGATTTCAGGCACAGTAACTATTTGGCTTAGTTTTAGGCATTCACCATCTCAACATGTGGACAGCACTATTCCCAATACAATGCACCTACAGTGTAGTAAGCATGCGTGTTCACTTATGAGTAAAAGTGCCCTTGATCTCCTGAGCCACCACAGAGAATTTGGCTCTCTTGCAGTAATTCAGAAGGTAGGGGAATGCTGGCCGTATTTAGTTACAGGCTTTGAGAGTTTAAAACATTTTGTTATTTGGTCATAATTTAATGCAGAGAAAAGGTGCTGGAGTAGTTTCTCTGGAGTCTGAAGTTCTTTATTTAATCATAGAATAGATACAAGTAGAGGAAGCACAAACTACCTTTTAAGAACCACCATACCTCCCCTTATAAAATGGAAACTATCAGCATGAGGAGTCAGGTCATGTGAGCATCAAACTCATTAGAAAGTATACGTTTTGTGCTCTATTAAGACCACCACCAGTTTCTTCTAAGGGCTTCAAGAACAAAGCAGG